ACATTTTTGACTAAATACGTTGTTTTATAGGTACTATTTATGCAATAGAATAACCATTCCAAATCCTGCGTCTACCCGAGCGTACGGCGCGTCGCGTTCCGCGCGCACCTCAAAGAGCCATCAGACCACCACGGATGGGGCCCAACAGGGCTGATACCGATTCGGAGTCGCGGAGAACCTAACGGGTTACCGGGGCTCCGGTTCGACGAGCAGGAGAAGGAATGGAGTGGATTTTAGTCAGTAAGAGTCTGGCACTCCCACCCGCCTCACCCAGACGCGAGCAGTCATTCGATGACTTTCCCACCTTAAAAAAAAAATCCTGCGTCTAAACTCCACTACTCGCTCTCACTCGCATTTTTGTCACATCCGTCACGATCCTAAAGGATATTTAAAAAACTTGCGCGTATTTCAACAATATTTAATCAGAAGTCTTATCTTGTCGACTGTAGCATTTTGTAAAGTTCGACTCTCGAATCCGAACGAACCTTTAGAGAGGTGCGGCGTCAGCGTTCGGAGAGCATCACTCAGCGATGGAAACACCCTCGAGTTGAACGACCACCCTCAACTCCCCACAGAGGGTGCTAGCATCGAAAATGGCAATTGTTAACATCTGCTTAACAATGCAATGTATGTATTTTTTAACCGTTTTAATACATTAGGCTCGTCCTGTATATAAATATGGGACTAATAAATAAGACCGGACTAATAAATAATAATAAATAAACTCATCTCTTATGGCGAATTAAGTGTATAAAGGAGTCCTCTATCTTCAACAAACAACAATTTCCTTACAAAATAACAGATGAATGACGTTATATAACATGTATCCCATATCATCATCAACCTATTTCCGGCCACCGCTGGAAATAGGGCTCTCTAATAGCCACTGAACTCGATCTTCCGCTCTTCAACGTTTGCCAGCCACTTTGCGGATGCTGTCATCCCACCTATTTTGTATGTGTATATTCTGGTATCTGGTTTTAGCATTAGTAAAGTATAATTATAACGTCAAACATAGCGTCAACGTCGCCTTTGATCTCCAAAGGAGTAGGTAGAGATATGCACAATAGGAAACCCATTTTTCACCAAATGAAACAACGGAGTTTATTTTTGCAAACAGGATTATATTACGAAAAATAGTACTTTCACACCAATTTAAAAATAACTAGATGAGGTCGACATTTCCCTACTACTCTAAGAAGAGCACTTAGATATGGTAAAGTACAAGTTTTACACATCTTTAGAACATTTCTGAATTCACGTTATTTAAAAGATTGCGTGAAGTGCGTCAATTGCAATATATTAATATATCGGGAACCATTTTGAAATCCGTGCTGCTGCTGAGCAACTTTTTCTAAAATCCGAAAAAATACAATATTTTTTTTACTCACCCAGCTCGCCCGGTGGTCGCGCTTGCGATCTTTTGACCAATAAGGCAGCCGAAGCATTAATAAACATCAATTCGAATTCATTTACTCTTTTTTTAATAAGAGAAAAGAATAAAACACAATACTTTTGAAAAAATCTGGTGAAACGAGATCTTCAGGTCTTCTTATTTTTGTTTTTGTTGAATTTTGAAGTCGGTAGAAAAGAGAGCTCCTTAAGGACTCATAATCGGAAGATTACTGTTCGATTTGGCAGGAAGCGAACCGTTGAGCCTGAGAGCAATCTCCGGGGAATGTGAATGTTTTATAACTGCTCTTCAGAGCACCATGGAAAATTCCCATTTTGAATAATGCTTTAGATTGTATACATACCTACCTCTAGAAAATATATTGTAGAAAATATATTGCACGATTGACGCGGTAACTAGGCAACCGCCAACTGGTTGCCGCGTAACGTGTGAGGGTTCGATTCCCTCACGTAGCAACTCTTTTTGTGACCCAAAAATTGTTGTTTCAAGTCTAAGTGTCATGTATACATTAACTTGTATGTGTGTAAACGCACCCACAACACAGGAGAGAATCCTAATGTGGGAAAAATTATTCTTCAAAAACAATTTGTAATTTGTCTTTCTTCTGGCAGTAGTCTGATTTTATAAAGTCGCGTAGATTCTATATGGAGACAATATAAAGTAATGGAAGAAAAAAGTAACTATCATCGACGTACAATCACAGGACGTCCACTGCTGAACATTAGCATCTATTAATGACGTCCAGCCTGAGCGATTGGAAACGACCTGATATTAACTAAAAATCGCTGTTATTATACCTACTATACTCATGTGAAAATACTGAGAACAGTTCTAATAGTTTCGAGCCACAGAAGGGCTCTTCGTCATCAGTAGCGTGCGCGCTCGAGTATGATTATAGCGATGGGTATTTTCACGCGAGTAAATCGCGATTTTCTTAATATGTCTCACGATAATTATTATAAAACACATAACATAACATAAATGTTTAGGTAGGCAGAGGTGCACACAGAAGTAACACCCACTTTTCACTATTTATGTTATTAGTTCCATGTAATATGGGGTGAGCCTATTGCCATACACCGGGCACATTTCCCGACTCCGTGCTACTACTGAGATTTTTTTTAAAACCCAGTAGTACTTTGCCCGACCCAGGAATCGAACCCGAGACCCCTTACCCGGCAGTCGCACTTGTGACCACTCGGCCAACGAGGCAATATAAAAACACGACTTGATATTATTCTGAATTCAGATTATTAGTGATAATACACAATTCAAAACTGATACTTATACTGACTAATTTAACTATAGTCCATTAAACACATTTGTTCAAGTAACACTTGAATAAATAAGTAGATAATTGCGTACTTTTAAATTGTTACCGTGGTAAAGCAAGCCCATTATATCATATATAGGTTTTTTTTAAGGGGAAAAATCATCGAATGACTGCTCCCGCCTGGATGATGCGGGAGGGAGTGTCAGACTCTTACTGACTAAAAACCACCCCGTTCCTACTCCTGCCCTTCGAGCCGAAGCCACGGCAACCCGTTAAGTCCTCCGCATCATATATAGGTATTTTTTTTTAAGGGGGGAAAATCATTGAGTGACTCCTCCCGCCTAAGTGAGGCGGAAGGGAGTGTCAGACTCTTACTGACTAAAAACCACCCCGTTCCTTCTCCTGCACGTCGAGTCGGAGCCCCGGTTACCCGTTAGGTTAGGTATAGGCAGCTCTTGTCTGCCACCATCTGTAATCATGGAGTCTATAATAGTGACGGGCGTTTCTTCGATAAACTTTAAATTTTCTATAACAAGACATTATTCTCCCGTGTTGTTTAGCTTTAAAAATACTGATGAGAGTAAGTTACTATGAAACAGTATTTTTAAAGCAATGACACGGCTCAGTTTCTTGAAATCAAATTTTGTGTTTTAAGCTTAACCTCTTGTCTGTCGATATACGAGACACAGATTTGCGTTCCGACACTTCACTGGATCAGCAGCATTGTTACCTTTAGTTTGAGGATGATGACGCCGCATAATTTTGTGATTTTATTTTAAAAAGAATCATCCACTAATTAAACTAGAATATAGCAAGACAATATATTACGTCATCTGAAGGTTTAAACTCAAAGATGATGTCGATGATGACTGACATCCGAAATTATTAACCTACCTCAATCCAAAATCTGTGGATTAAAATCGATTTTTGACACAAACTCCACACATCTAATGTCAAACACATGAGAACCTGATGTTGATCCTTGGGTTGGATTGTTTCGTGATAATATTGCAGATCTCTCCATGGTCTAAGATAAGAAGGGTAATCGAACGGTGTAAGTTATGTATTGCAATCAGCTCCCTTCTGTTTATTGTTCACAGAATTCAATATGACTAGCAGAAAAATTGTGTAATCATTTACTATATATAAAAGGCTTTATGAATAGTTATTGAGCGCTATGTCGTTGATATTATTTCCAGAATCCTTATCGTATTTATCATCATCATCAACAGACTATAAATGCCCACTGCTGAGCAAAGCCTCTTCTCACACGGAGAAGGTTTGAACATTAATTTGCGAGGCTTGCTCAATGCGGGTTGGCGATTACGAACTTATAATTATAAATTACTAGCGACCCGCCCCGGCTTCGCACGGGTGCAATATGTATATACATACAAAACTTCCTTAAGAATCACTCTATCTATTAAAAAAAACCGCATCAAAATCCGTTGCGTAGTTTTAAAGATCTAAGCATACATACGGACATACAGCGAAAGCGACTTTGTTTTATACTATGTATTGATAAGCCCAGATTTCCTCACGATGTTTTCCTTCACCGTTTGTCAGTGCTGTTTAGATCTTCATCTTAGTCTTAGATCATTGCTTATTCGAAGCTAATTCAGGTTTTCAGGTGTGGTGGTTTTTGACAAATACTGTTAAACCCTCTCTATAATTTCTATTCACAGTCCTTGGTACATATTTACATTTCTTATCTCCATCTAAAAGACCACCTAAGTGAAAATTAAGATTAGCTATTATGCATATATTTAGGAAAACGTCGTTTTTTGTTTTATGGGATAAACCGGTAAACGAGTAGACGGATCACCTGATGGTAAGCCATCGGCGCCGCCAATGGACACACGAAACACTAGATATGTTACAAGTGCGTTACCGGTCTTTTGGGGATTAGGAACTTAGGATTGTTGGGGATTCGGGGATAGGAGAGATTGTCGTCGTTACTATGTTTTATGAATGTCTCTCCGTAGCTGTGTTAAAATCGGTGTATGTGGCGATGATCCTGATTTATGATTCTCTTGTAAATTGGAGTCTCGTATCCTGGGCGCCGTTAGGTATCAGAAACTTTTACATACAGCCTGCTCTTGGGCTTCCAAATCTAAACCGTTTGAAAGTTACATTTCAACTGCGAACACAAAACAGCAGCCATGTACCTAATAATATATTTTTCAATTTTTTATATTTTTCCAAAAGCCTGATCACTCATGATTCCAATTTAAACAACCTCCATTATTTAAGTAAATGAAGTACCTCAAACAAAAGTTATAACATGGAATTATTAGGAAAATAGGTACTTACCTGTTTTAACATTGTTATTGTTATTGGTCCCTGTGGCTTGGCTGAACAGGGAAGCTCCGGTGAGCCGGGCCCGACGCAGGATCCACCACATTTTCTCCAAATTACAATTTAAACAACTTGGAAACTATAGAATATATTCCAAATCTTCACTTTCTTTCCGAGCAACGGGTTTTTATACCGCAAAATATGGATTTTTAAGCTTTTTTCACTTTACGATAAAAGTTTTGCACTAGTTTCTGTTATGAATGTTTTTATCGTTATCGTAAGTGCGCGTGTCGAGACTACCGTGCGAGAGACGAGCGTCCTTGCCGCATCACTAGTGGCACGGTACTGGCCGCGTCCTGGCGTGACATTTCCAAACACTGGCATGCGCAGTACTCGCACTACTCTAGTACCTACGTCTAACAGGTGTATCAGTAGCACGTTTGAATTTTGAACTATTGCCGTTTTTTGTAAACTTTTCATTAACGCGTCCGTGCTGTTACAATTTAAAATTAAAACTTGTGATAATTCTTGTCACATGTTATTTTAGTTTTTCTGAAGATATAGTAGACATTTGAATTAGATGTTTTTTTTAAGTGTGTCGTTGTGTTTTAACATATCTTATTATGAGATAACTTGTAAAAGGTTGACTGAACTGATAATTAATAAAATTGATATAATCTGGAACTCGTCAATTATAATATACGAATAATAATTGCAAAGCTTGATTGATTGGTGGAACATGGTGAACTGCGCATTCATCTAACATCTTGTAACGCATCTGAATGTATTGTGTTCAACAATAAAGATATTTGAATTTGAATGAAGAAAAATGAGAAAATGGCAGTTTTTTTTCATGTGTAAGAAACTGTAAACTTCATCTTTTTCCACAAAATTTATTACAAATCGTATTTAAATTACATAAATAAATATGACCTATGTGACTTAATAACTTAGACACCGGACTTCTTAACATTTTATCGTTAATTTTCAATCAAATCTAATGTCAATTTCTCAGTAAAATTATAATAATTTGGAAACAGATTACTATTGTTTGAGAAGTCATTACAAAAATGCAATTCTAAAGAAACATAAACTCAACGAGTTGCTAACCGAAACAGTCTTTACATTTTAGATATAATTTCTCGAAATAAAATGTTAGTCTATGGCAGTTAGCCCGATGTACCGGCCTTTAAGGCAGCCACCTCCTTCAACCTGGCATTTTCGGCTACCAGCGCTTGAACCCTCTGTTCGTATTTCTCTCTAAGTTCCTGTATTACAAAAAAAAACATTTAAAATACGTTAAATGTTATTAATTGGTAACTTGACAATGTTATTTTGTTTTTACTGTGCAATGGAAACGACTTTTATTTAAAAGAAAACTATGTTTAGCTACTAAAGTTTGAAATCGCCAATCCACCAAGCAAGCCTGGTGATAAAGCTCATTCTCCGTGTGAGAAGCGAGACATTTATAAGAAAGTTACAGGCTAATGATGATAATGGTGATGATGAATAGATTTTGTACAAGTGTGAAGCTTTATAACTGAACCTATAGTTTATACCTTGAAAATAGCGAGCTGTGTTTCGTACTCCTTCTTCAAGTCGTCATTAAGGGTGGTGCTGGTCTGTGCGCGCTGTAACACCAGCCCGTACCTGTCCTTCTCCGCTTTAAACCTCGCCTCCATTGCTTGAAGACGATCCTGGAATATTCCATACACCAGAATTGGTGACCAAAAAAAACTAATGACCCAGTCAAAGAAAAAAATAGTTGAATATTCGTTTCTTTGTTGGATTCTCAAGCCCATACCATAAATACCGATACTAAGTTTGTCGAGACAGACAATTATTATTACTTACAGTGATTTTTCCTTGAAATATATCATCTTTAAATATAAATACAAAATTGTCTACAAGTACCTACATAAAAGCCGGAAAACAGCCTCCACGCGCGTCCTTTCGACCGCAAATATTGTAAGTATCCATTTCCTATAAAGCCACGATGGGGATCTCGAACAAAATACTTGTACTTTCTATCGAAACTTACCTCCATAGCTTTCACTTCAGAGTTTCTTATTTCCAACAAGTCCTTGGTGATCACGTTGATGTCCTTGAGAGATTGTACTTGTGTTGTTAAAGCCTCAATCTGTAGCTCCTGATTCTTCACCATCTTTGTCTTATCGAAGATCATACCGCGAGCTTTGTTGAGCAACTAGAATTATTAAATAATGTTCCTTGTTTCATTCTAGTCCTATGAAATACTTATAAATATTTGTTATGGTTCCTTTGCTTTGTTAGCCGAATGCCGAATGAGAGGTCACGAGTTCGATTCGCAGGTCGTTCAAAGTATTTATTATTACCATTTCTTGGTTTAGGAGCTTACGAAAATGTTCAGTAGCACTGATTTTAATAACACAAAAAATGTTTAACGTGCTTGTGTTGGGTGTTCTGCATATAAAGACGAGGATGACATTTAAGAACCCTTGTCATGATTCCCAAAAACATACGCACCTCTTCATGCTGTTGTTTGATGTTTTCAATCATCTCATGATTCTTGCCGCTGGGTTTCGACAGAGCTGCTTGTAGTTCTGTTTCCAAATTCCGAACTCTTGCTTTTAGGAGATCGACCTCTTCTTCACGAACCTTTAAATATTATTATGTAATAAGTATGACAGCGAAATCTTCCCAAATCTAAGTAGGGTAGCAAATAAGTACCAATTGATAAAATCGGTAAACAAGTATTGATGATGAATTAATGAAAGATCTGTGTCCTCGTAGGGGATTTATAAAATAGATATTAATGACATTAACCTCATGAGACATTTGCCTACTGACCTCTTTGGAGAGATCCTAAAAAAGGGTCAGGTGCTGAATAGACTTAAGTAGCGTGTTTGTAGAGTAACGTAATATTCGGTGAAGCTATAATAATCAAATAAGTATGGATCGTTACAATCTTGGTTTTCCATCCAACACGGTGCCATTTTTGTTTAATTGCCTCGGTTACATTTTTTTTAAAGGAGACATAATTTATTTTTATAATAACTATCGTGAGACATACTAATGGTTCCTCCTCCAAATTCCTCATTTCTCCAAATTCCTCATGGGCAGCGTGCACGGTCGCGGCGACAGTAGGCTGCGCGACATCGCCGCGACCACGCACGCTGCTCATGAGGAAGAACCCCTCTGTGGTTCGAAACTAGTAGAGCTTTTCTTAGTATATTCACGTGAGTAACCCGCAATTTTTAGTTAATTGAGACATAATTTAAAGTTTTAACATAAACTACTGGTAGAAACCTCAGCATCATCAAACACCATAGAACTTGGATTATCAAATGAAAATTATGGAGTAATACCATTTAATCGTGTTTATATTATTAGAGCATGCAGATTAGGTACTAACATGGCCTAGTTTCTAGTCAAGTTGTATTTGCTTACCTTGAGTTCTAGTTTCATTCCATCCTCGGTCCTCTCGCTCTTAATCTTCTCCAACTCTTCAATCTTCTTGAGGAGCTCCTGTTCTCTTTGCTGCCAGTCAAGCTGCAGAAACGTTTCATTATAAATTAAGACTCAACTTTGTACCTACTTTTATTTACCTACATATCAAATCAAAGAATAATAAAATCAAAAAACTCGCGACTAAGATCAATTCAGTTTATTTCTTTAAATAATTATTTATTTACTGAGTCCTAAGTTCGTGACATGACTGGCCTACCTACGGCAGATGTAGAAAAATACCTTACATACAAAATTTAGTTAGTTATTCCATATTATTTTTAACCGACTTCAAAAAAGAAGGAGGTTATATACGTTCGGCCGGTATGTTGCTTTTTTTGAATGTATGTATTTTGTCTTAAGATCAGCAATCAGTCGCAAGACTATAATTCCATGTTTATAATTATTAAAGCTTCGGTACAATCATCACAAATCTTTAACAATAAAAGTTAATTTTAAACCGACTTTAATAAAAGGGGTTTCCAAGTTTGATCGTATGTATGTTTGTGCGCGACTATCTCGCAATTGGCTGAACCGATTTTGAAAATTGTTCTTTTCAGAAAAGTGTTTGTTACTCTGCTGACTACGACTGCCTCGTTGGCCGAGTGGTCGCAACTGCGACTGTCGGGCAAGGGGTCTCGGGTTCGATTCCCGGGTCGGGCAAAGTATTACTGGGTTTTTTAAAAATTCTCAGTAGTAGCACGGAGTCTGGAATTGTGCACGGTATATGGCAATAGGCTCACCCCCTATTACATGGGACTCATAACATAAATAGTGAAAAGTGAGTGTTACGTAGTACAGTGGTATAATGTGCACCTCTGCCTACCCCTTCGGTGATAAAAGGCGTGATGTTATGTTATGCTTGTTTAAACTTAGTTTATAAAACACTTATTCTAATAGAAAACTGCTAAACTAAAACAAAGCTACAAGCTTACATTTTCTTTGGCATTATTGGGAACTTCTTTGGCGTCAGTAGTTTCAACAGTTTGTTCGACTGGCTTGCTTTCTGCTGCATCCTGTTGTACCTCCTTTATTTCCTCTGGTTTACTCTCCTTTATTTCCTCTGGTTTACTGTCTGGTTGGACGCTCGACTCGACAGCCTGCGAATGTTGATAAATTATTGCTAAATTCGACTGTACCTCGCTTCATGTTTTAATTCATACACTTTTTTTTAGTCTGTACCAGTTCATCGATTAGTTAACGAGTGAGGGCTGAGACCTACACAAAACTGCGATGCGACATCGCATCGCAAAAATGTGCGAGCTTCCTCTACGCATCGCATAAACTTGCGAATTGATTCACATCGCGCATCAAAATCTTGTCTTTCCAAAATCTTCTTTGTTTCTTTTTCCTGTATCTTCTAAGCAATAACAGAAGTGCACACTTCTTCCCTGCCACGACCTAGATTTCAATTTAAAATACTTGTAGTAGTAGTAGTTGACGGTCGTCGAAGGAATGATCACCCTGGGAGACGCCTTGTCGCACGAAATCACATCGCAGCAATTCGCATCGTAATTTTTTGCGTTGCAGATTCGCATCGCATCGCATCGCAGTTTTGTGTACAAGCCCTAAATGTTATGGATGGTGTCATCACTGCGAGGAGCGCCCTAGTTTCGGGAGGTACCTGTGTCTGATGGGGCGGGAGGAAACGCCCGGGTGTCATCACTGCGAGGACCGCCCTGAGGACACGGTGGAACACACGGTGGGAGAATGCCCTTCGTGGGCTGAGCACCGCCGTGTCCTCAGGGAAGTGATCGGCGATGGCGACCTCTCGCGTCCGGGCCTAGTGCAGGCCATGATGCGGAGCGAGGGGGATTGGGATGCCGTCTCCTCCTTTTGCGAAGCAGTCATGCTAGCTAAGGAGGAGGCGGGACGCGTGAGGCAGCGAAGCGCTGCCTCCTCGCAACCCAGCCATCGCGAAGGACACACCGGGCGTCGGGGATCGCGGGACGATCTCCGGCCACCGTAAGCGCGGGCCTGCGGACGGCGAGCATGGGTGGCTCCCCGTCCGACCAGAAACAGACCCGAGCGTACGGCGCGTCGCGTTCCGCGCGCGCCTCAAAGAGCCATCAGACCACCACAGATGGGGCCCAATAGGGCCGATGCCGATTCGGAGTCGCGGAGAACCTAACGGGTAACCGGGGCTCCGGCTCGACGTGCAGGAGAAGGAACGGGGTGGTTTTTAGTCAGTAAGAGTCTGACACTCCCTCCCGCCTCACCCAGGCGGGGGCAGTCATTCGATGATTTTCCCCCCTTAAAAAAAAAAAATAAAAAAAAAAATGTTATGGATAATAATCTGCTTATTTTTATGGCATTAGTAAACGAACAAGCAGACAAATCGTCTAACATCAAATAATAAACGTAAGTAATCAGCGCCACGCTGCGATAATCACAAAAAATTGTCGTAGGAAAATATGTAAGTAAACTTTTTTAATAAAGGTTGACATAATTTCTTTAACTCAGGTACTTAACACTGGGTTTACTTTGACTTATCGACGACGTGAGTGCAACAAATTATTAGAAAGTACATATATAGGTATTTATTTTTCAACAAATGTTAAAAGAATTGTTACTTGACCAATAAATAAGTAGTTTGAAATAGTGTCAAAACTGAATGTGTAGTATGAACCTTCCAGATATGAAAAGCTTACTGGTTTATTAACTTCTTCAGTGACCGGAGGCTGTGGTGCGGGGATTGCCTCTCCTCCGCCAATCTCTCCAGACTCCGGACATTGCGGTTGCACTTGATCTGCCTGAACAATAAAATCAAAGGTCAGTAACCAAAGAATATTTGTTATGGAATATGTCAGACGGCAAACGAGAAGATAGATCATCTGATGGTAAGCAATCATCGCCGTCGTGGACACCAGCAAGACAACAGGAGTTAGAACTGCGTAGCCAGACTGGGATTCGAGATCGCAAGGAGATTGGAGATGCTTTCCCTAAAAAGGTACATACTTCATACTTTTTCCAGTTTTAAGTTTGAAGAAAAATCATTAATTGTTGTGTTACCTACGTAAACGTTGACGAGATCAAGGAAATAGAAATACAATGCCGATTACCATCCGACATCGAAATGAAAATTTCAATTGAACTAGATTATAGAAGTGAAGCGCTTTGAAGAATACTTTAGCGCTTAAGTCTTGACTTTTTTATTAAATAAAACCGTAGATACAAGGATCTGGCAAATGTTAGTTTGAGCCCAGAAGTGTACCTACTTATTAAAGAAGAGACTAATGTGCCACAATAGGTAGACAAATCTAGCTGATGATAATAATTATTTGTATCGCATAAATTGTGCATCATATTGGGACAAAATAATAATAGTTATTAGGTTACAAAAAATAGTAAACACCTATAATGACTGCACGGTTGGTGCGGTGGTTTGGCAACCGGCTGCCGTGCAACGTGTCGCGGGTTCGATTCCCGCACGGAACAACACTTTGTGTGATCCACAAATGGTTGTTTCGGGTCTGGGTATCATTGTGTATGTGAACTTGTATGTTTATAAACGCACCCACGACACAGGAGACAATCGTAATGTGGGGCAACGTTTAAGAAAATAAATAAAAAAAAACAGTCTCCACCCAAATATACCCAGGTAGGTATCTACCTCTTCATAGGTATTTATTCATCTTTACTACAAAATGTATAAATGTAGCTACAGACCTTCAGAATGGAAACATTTAATAGGTAAACGTGACAAAATAAACAAAGAGCAGTGCCCTCCCGAAGCGACCCCAAAAAATCTTTAACACGATCGTATTAAAGATCTTAAGGCGCCCCGAGATGAATACCAATCATCGAGTGTTCTGCGATAAAATCGTTCAAGTGAAATATTGTCAACGAAGTCACCTGCCTATAACAGCAGGTATTAGGAAGGTACTAAGATGTAAATTCAATGAGATATTGTCACTTGATGATGATAGAGTCGAGAGATTTTGATCTTTTGTTTCAAAAAGGAGCCATAATTTTACAGATAACCTAAACAAAGGGTGCAGACATTTTTTAGAGCAGAAAAAATAAGTCGTTTTATAAGCAGCAAGTGGATGTAGATATTAAAGGAAGAGGAAGATAGAAACATTGTATTAAGTGTTTAACAATAAAAATGAAATAGGAATAACACAAATCACCTCATTCATCAAACGACATCATCAGGGTCGCGACAAGAAGGTTGACGAAAAAAGATAAACAAAAATGGCGCAATTTGAAGGATACCTTCCCTCAGCCGTTGGCAGAATTAACTTTAAAAAGACATAGAAGAAGAAGAAGAAACAAGTAAGATTACTACTTCTCATCACGCCGTTTCTCACTCGTATGATCTACCCACTGACGGTGCTCTGACCCACAATAAACATGACTTCATAAATAAATAAAGTGCAATGTCACTACATAGATAGATAAGTAGGTATAATACTTCAGTATAATGAACCGGTATCTTAAGCTGATTATAATAATGCTACTGAAATGATCAGTGTTTGCTGGAGAAATAGGTATCAAATATCCACTCTCGACAGTTCGACATTATTGTGTAGGTTAGAAAACGGAATACGAAAACAAACATTTATTTACCAATCTGTTCCACCTATCTACTTTTAGTTTATATATAAGCAAATGGCTAACCATTTCCTTCCTAACTAAACACGCAATAGAGGTAAAATATAATACACACTGAAATGAATAGCAATATTAGCGCATTTTATTACAGTAGTTACTGAAAAAATTACCCTCGTCGCTTCCTCGTAATCGTAACCACAAACCCTTGTCCATATAGATCTCATCTCATGTTAGGATCTTAGCAACAGTTTCATAGTAATAATTTTAGTTATTTGGCTATCGTATAGATATCCGCTGCAATTTTATAAACACCAAAGCGTGGCAGACTTTTGACAAAGATGAATTCAACTGACAACAATCCCATCGTCATTAGCTATCAATTTGAACAAAAAGTTTCACTTACCATTTTATAGATGTTAATATTTTGTCCTGACAAACTCACAAGTAAGGATCACGTTCAAAAGCCGAGAGAATGAATTACACTATGTTCAAAACTTGAACGTCTATTTTTGGGACTTGAGACGCACTGATACAAAAATAGAAAATACAGAGCGTCGTGAAATTCGTAAACTTTCCCGCGCGAGTTTCGATTGCGTCTAAGTAAGTGTCTATAGTATAGGTATGCGTACGATTGCATGATATTCCAAAATAAATTATAAGTACATTTACGAAATGCACTTCCGCATTGTGTCTTGATCTTGAGATACCGTTTTACTCACGTAAGGAAGTAGGCAATTATAACAACGATATCGATTTTTTTTTATTTAGCTGCTGATTGTTAATGGTAAATATCGAATTTTAATGAAAAAATTAAATATATTCTTACCTATACCTTGTGTATCTTTTAAACGTAGGTAATAAGTACTTAAAGGTACCTACCTACTTATGTTATGTATCTAACGTTAATTGTTTAAGGAAAGCGATTTTTTTTTTTGCGCAATTTCATGCATCTGCGCCGTACTATCCAAGACTACAGCAAATTAAAGAAAATTTAAAGTATTCAGTAAATTGAATAGGTAATCCTGCCTGACGAAATAGGACAGTTTTGAAACATACATTAGACAATTCTGAATACTCTGACAATTAAATTACCATCATTTTTTTAACTATTATTTTTAACTCAAACTCAGTTATTTATGAGGAATAATAGGACCCATTCGCACAACTTTTGGACTATTTGAGTACCTTTGAGTACCGTCATTATAGACACAATTAAAGAACAATAGGTTGCGGTCACCAGTATCCTCGCGCTGTTTGACAGTTTAAAGCGTTGTAATATTTCCTTATGTGTAGCGCTTTTACGCAACGCTTATATGAGGTCAAGGAGAGTTACATTATCAAGGCTTGGCTAGATACTTTTTATCGAAACAAAAAAAACTCTCGTGTGAATATGCCTTAACAAAATGATATAGACAATACCATAAACTAGACCGGCTTCCTGACAGGATGAATCTGACATTTGACAGTTTTGAAAATTGACACTATGACATTGACAGTATATTTCAATAAACAGAAAACGGTAGCAACTATAGAAAGATAACGTTTTGATTGATGTGAAATTCGAAGTTATTGTGTGCAAGGGAAACCAAAACAAACTGCCTACATAACAAGTAATCAAAGCTGTTACAAGAACATAATCTACTATCAACCACGGTAAACATTTGGTATCTAAACAAGCAAGATTTTATTGAGTTTTCAAGGGTTTTAATATCAGGTTTACCGTTTTAGGGTGCCACAATGACTTCAGAAAAGAATGCCCAGGTGGGGCAAGCTCGCGAAGCTTTCCAAATGATGTATCAGATATCACAACTCCTTAACACTGGATTAGATGCAGATACTCTTTCTATCTGTATACGGCTATGTGAACTAGGCGTCGATCCTGAAGTACTGGCCCATGTTATTAAAGAAATAAGAAAAATGGGAGACAACGCGGCCCAAAGCAAACCTGTTAATTTACATCCATAGAACTTAGTTATTCTCATTTCTTCATTTAAACAAATTGCCCCAATGTTAATGCTTTAAAATTAGTGATATATTTTCATAAAACTAATATTAAACTTCTTCGTATTTTCTGAACAATGTATGTATTGAAAATGTACTTCTAACAAACACTACAGATTGTAGTCTAGGAAGGATATGGTAAATATTAATTTTAAAAAGTACTGTTTAACACTCGTAAAGGTTTTTCTATGTATACTAATCTCATCGTGGAAATAATAGGAATTATAACTTACTTGAAACTCTTTATATTTATAGTAGTAACGATTTTATATCATGCCCCAAAATATTTGTAGTAATTTTGCTATTTTAGACATTGCAATGTATGAATTTGTGTTCTTTATGTCGTAATTGCTGATGGCAATGTAAATGTAGTGATATTTGTTGTATTCAGTCAGTTTGTTGATGTGATTTTCTCTCCAGAACCATGGAGTAAACATGAGTACAAGTTAACATAAGGTCATACATGTAAATATATTTCACATAATTAGGATTAAACAGCATGATGAAAAAATAAAAAACATTGATTATTAAAAAAACTTTATTGTTTAAATAAATTCTATTTTCAGGAAACATTTTAAGGAATATTACATACTCAATTCATGACAATTTTTACAGCTAATTTGAAGATGGAACAAATAATCTTCATCATCAGCCAATAACAAACTGACATAAAAGGCCCTCTAACTTTATGGGAACAAATAATTAAGTAGAGGGATAAGAAAGGAGTATGTAATACTCTTTAAAATCAAAATTTTATGATAAAATAGTGTTGCATTGTGCTTTGCATGAACAAAATCATTGAAATCTAATACCAAATGGGTACAAACCATATTGAGTGAAATTATAAACAATCAGTACGGGACTGAAAATATCACAGATGCAAATAATTCACTCGCAACAAACTAAAACTGATTCTAAAGTTTGGTTAATGATACAGTGCCACATTGGCAAGAGATTTGTTTACAATTTCGATTGTGGCTGTACAGTCTGGCCTGATGACTCGATTATTGTGCAAAGAAATTGAATATTTCATCAGAAAAGTTTATGGACTTTGAACTTGACATTACATTATATAATGCAAGACAAAAGTACAAATATTTTACAAAAGTAGAATTTTAAATAAAGAAGTAGTATAGCAAATGTGTGTTGAGCAAGGCTGTACAATCACAATAGTTTTAATCTTAAGACCTAGACTACTGGAACGATTGACTCTGAGCTTGTCCTTGGTTACCTAGCACTGATGGATCCTCAAATATGGGTTGCTGTGGTTTGAACTGTTCTGCTGTTAACCTGGAGAACATTATACCTATACCTTCTATTAAAGCCAAAAGTATACCGCCAACTAAAGCACTGCCAGCCATGGCTGGGACACCTGTAAAATGACAAATATAAACAATTATTATTAGTTTTTAATTAATATTTTCAATTAAAACATGTGCTGTACAATATGATCCATATATGTAAATAATTAGATACTGCATTGCGCTAATTACTGTTGATTGTACATACAAAAATATCTTAGCAAAATATTGTGTATTGTTTACTAAACAAAACTAGTGCTTGTTTTGTCATTTTTCAACCGACATATTCTTACTAACTTGGAATAAATAGTACCTATCACTATCATTGTGATTGTAAATGAAATAATTACCATTTCTAGCTGCAAGTATCCCGCCAGTAAGAGCCCCACTCATGATAGAGTTCCAGGGGTCTTCTTTCTGCCGCAAGTATACTAAGGAGCAGTCGATGGTGGAAAACATTCCTCCCCACACTGCAAAATTACCACCAACGATAGGAGAGCGTTCTTTCAACGCGGCCATACTTCCCAGCTGCAAATTACAAACCAATTAAAATGAAACAATTCAGAAACACAACGCAAATGTTATTATTCATATGCATAACACGTACTTACCATTTTTCTACTGAACCCTACAGGTGCATTCCTGAATCCTTTTATTGAATGGAAAATCCCTCCGCCAATAGCTCCCATAATAAAAGCACCTCCAGAATCATCTAAGATACGCCACGGGCAAGGTTCCCTTGTATATTCATCCATGTTTGATGTTTATTGATTTTGTACCGTCCTGGAATCATGTATTAGGTAAGAAATATAACCTCAAAATGTTAATCCTTCAAGTCCAAGAACAAATCTTTGATAGAAAATAATCTTACCTAAATATAATATTGACACTTGAATTCACAATTTCAGTAACAGGTTTGGGTTTGTAATATTGATTTATCTGGAGAATTTATCACAAATATTCTACCATGGCTCCCCACTCATGTTCAATCATTGTCAAAAAGGGTTTTTCAATGACAGATTTCTCTTGAGATTAAAATTATGTAGTCTATGGAAGGGCCGCTCCAAATCTGTGCAACCCCAAAATGAACCAAATTATATTAGCTACAAAATAAACTGACATTATTTTGGACTTGGACAAATATATTATGTGTTTTAAAAATACTTTTAACAAAGCTAAGTTTGACTTGGTATAACATTTTTCAATGATAGTTCTTTGTGATCATGGAGAATATGTGGATTTTTTTTTATTTATAATCAAAGACAAGGATAACTGTCACTAAAGTAAAAAGTTTGACATGACAACTGAACAGCTCAGTCAAAAATAGTTAGACTGAGTTTGACAATTAAACAATCTTGCGATTACGACTGAAAATACTTGATATTATTTTTCTTTCTTGCATTTTTAAATAGAAAGCACAATAACAAACTATGACTATATATAATTTATATATATTCGATCGATATGGCACATTACTTTACTACGGAGAATGGAATAGATCAAAACAATCGGGAATGTCGCGAGAGGAGGTCAGTTGTTGTTCTTTTGAGTATTTTATCAAAAATGTATTCTCTTATTATTATATCGTTTAGAATCTTATTTCTAGGGGTTCTGCAATCATTGTTCTGTACTACGAAGTACCAAGAATTGATTTGTGACCACTATTGTAAAAGTAATTAATGACACCTTACATGCAATGGGGAGTTCCAATTTCAATTACAACCTCCCCTTTTCTTAAGGGTTTTATCAATTCTTTAACATAATTTCATGAAGAGAAATTAAGTTTATCCTATCACAGCACTTGATGATTAATGAGCAAACATTTATTAAGTACCACTATATAAAAGAAGACTTAGATAATAAAAACAGCAGAAGAAATTGTTTGTTGTGCACCAACTCAGTAATTTGTACTCATGTTTCAGGAAGGAAAATTAATGTATGGCATGCTGTTCTCAATCAAATCTTTTGTCGCCAAGATATCTCCACTGGACCCAAAAGAAGGTTTTATGCACTACAAAACTTCCAAGTACACTTTGCACTGTCTTGAAACCCCCTCGGGATTAAAGTTTGTTATGAACACAGATAATCAAGCTCAAGGTGTCAGAGACTTATTAAAAAAGATCTATGGAGAAATATATGTTAAATATGCTGTAAGAAATCCTATGTGTGGCATCGGTGAACCTATTACTAGTGAATTATTTAAGAATAAATTAGATGCTTTTATCAAACAATCACCAATACAATATGCTCGGGCTTCCTGATAACTTATTCCTAATTTTGTGAATTGAATGAAAGCTTCAGAGATTATCAAAATGTAATATTATTATGTTAACTTATGTTTATGGAGCATGCTAAGTAAATAATTATATTTATATTTTAAGTACCTATAAGATAAAAATAAATGTATATTGTGGCTTACTTTATCGTACATTTCATTTTAGGTTTTATGTAGCTTACCCTATCCGAATGTTACTCAGCTAAGAACAACGGCATACAGTCATAAATGAATTAATCAATTCCAAGCAACAAATAAATTTTATACTATACTGATTATGTTTAATAATAATATTGAATATTTTTTGCGGTGCTCTTTAGTGGAAGGCTATAAAACATCACTATGATCAATAGGAACCTAGCAGAGTGGATAAAACAGTGCGGGAGTAGCTAGTATGAATATAAAAAGAAGTATCTATGAGGTAGTACATATCAAACTATTTCAATCCGAATTTGAATGAGGTAATGGATTTATAAAGCCGATTCGTGTATCTGAACCATTAATCTGAACGCAGTAAATTTTTTAATTTTGACATGTGATAGTCTATGGTTTGTGAATGACAACATTGACAACGTCAAAGTTAAAAAAGGCAAACAAAACAAACGCAAACGGTCAAGCGTGTGATTCTGGATTTTGTTATATAAATATTTACTGCTCAAATAAATTGAAACAGTATTTTAAATAATAACCATTGATTTTGTGAATTATATGATGGCCAGTGATTTTTCAAAGGAGAAACGTTTCAGTCATTGTGATGAGTGAGACAGACGATACTGATGTTCTCTTACTAATACCACCAAATTTCTTTTTAGTACAGAGTTCTGAATCAGAAGATTCTTTTCTGGAATCTTCTAGAACTGTTGTGCATAAGCCCAAATCCTGCACTGCACAAGTACTGGGAAAATTAGTGGATCAAGTTCATACATTGGAATCTAGGTTAGAAAATTTAGAGATCAACAGTGATACATCTAGTTTCGGCACAGTAAGGAGACCGAAGACGTGGGACACCACGGATAGTATCGACAGCCAAAGTTTAGACCGCAAGTGTTTTACATTTCCTCGCAGGCGTAAAAGAAAAACTACAAAAAAGTCAAAAAGATTTGATTTATCCCTCAGCGGCTTAGATTCAGCTAGCACAGGCAGAAAATCCATCCCACCTTTGAAATTAGGTATAGATTTAGATCAGTTGAACTCTAAACCCAAAGAAATCATAAATGACATTCAAAGTATGGATGCTGATTTAAGCAGTATAGTTTCAACACCTACTAAAAAGAATGACAAATTGCTCTTACATGAAATAGATGAATTCCTTACGAAAGTTGAAAGTTATGAGACTCCCGATACCAAATATAAGGATCATGAGCCATCACTTAGTCCTGAAAATGTAATAAAGGCTACTGGAGACTATATTTCACACAAACTAGACTCAAAGAGCAATGAAGAAGAAGTAAAGCTACCAAGTGGCAGAATGGTGTCGAGCAGTGTACTTGATAAATACATTTATTTAGTAAAAAGTAACTCAGGAACAGCTAGATTTGAGAAACCAACTACTTCAGAGAATTATAAGGGAAACAATGAGGAGACTGGTGCTTCCCACCCTGAGAGCTCATCAAAAGAGTCAGCAGAAGCATGTAGTAGAGACACCAGAACACCATCTATGAGAAAACTGAATTTCTCAGATAAAGATGTACAACCAACATCTACTCCAAAAAGACCTCAATCTAGTTACTTGGACACCTTCAGACCTTCATCAAATAAAATATATGATAGAGCATCAAAAGTCTTAGAACAGTACAAATCTCAGAGTCACAATAGAAATCAAGGTTCTGTCAATGATAGCTACCTGTCTCCTAAGAAGGAAGAGTTCAAGATGCCACAAATGAGACCTTATTGCTATAGTAATAAGGAAGCAAAGCTGAGCTCCTTGCAGAATAGGTATATGGAGTCAATAGACACTGATTTATTGAGCTTGAGTGAGCTGTGGGGGGATAGGGGAGACCGTCCAGAAAGAATAGACAGTGTGAAGCTGGAAGAGGAAAGACTTAAAAGAGAGGTCAGTTATCATCTTTTTAACTCTTTACAACTATACCAAGATTAACAAATCTTCTTCTTATGAAATGAATAATCATAATTTGTATTACTAGCGACCCGCCCCGGCTTCGCACGGGTGCAATATGCATGTATTATACATATAAACCTTCCTTAAGAATCACTCTATCTATTAAAAAAAACCACATCAAAATCCGTTGCGTAGTTTTAAAGATCTAAGCATACATACGGACATACAGCGAAAGCGACTTTGTTTTATACTATGTATTGATTGATGATACATCCACAGCACTGTGAATCAATGATACAACAACTACAGAAAAAGATCTTAGAACAACAAGAGAAGTTAGCAGTGGCTGTGAAAGTGGACCGAGCTAAAGATGCAGCCATTGGGAAACTGAGAGAAGCCTGGTTGAAGCTCACTGGAAGCTTGGATAAGGCCGAGGAGAGACATAGAGCGGCTCTGGAGAAGATGGATAGAGAGGTTGAGAACTTTAGGATGATTGCTGATGAAGCACAGAAGGTAACAGTCTTTTTGAAATGGCATACTTCAGTACTGCATTTTGCTATAATTATAATTGGGTAGTTTCCAGGGTATCAAAATTAAAAATCTAGTTAGTCCGTCAGATAGATAGTGAAAAAATATTAGACACATATTTTTTCTCGTATTAAGTTGCAATACTTAGATAAAATGGCGCTAAGTTTAGGAGTGGGAGGTCGTTACGTCATAACGTGCTACAAAATGTGACACGCTGTGACGTCACACGATGTTTCAAATTAACTCGTCGAGTACCGGTTTTGTAGACACAATTATAGAACAATAGGTTGCGGTCACCGGTGACCGCTTGGTGTTTGACAGTTTAATATATCGTCGAAAGTATTTAATTTTGTGAGAAAAGACCAAATACGTGTTTAAAGTTTTAAATTAATCTACCAGACATTAAAGTAAAATTTAGGAAACTACCCTATTATAGTCAGATTTTAAGTAACCATTTTACATGTTAAACTGTCGAATACCAAGCGGTCACCGGTGACCGCAACCTATTGTTCTATAATTGTGTCTGCAAAACCGGTACTCGACGAGTTAAAATTGAATACCTTTGTAATCTTTAGTTAAATAGGCTGTCTGGAGAAGTCAAATTTGTTTTCAAGTGGTAGACAAAAGAGAACAATCCTTGATTTTTCATATACTGCTGTTAGTGAAGAAACATACTCAAAGATTAAACTTGTGCTTTTTTTCTAGAAAACTAGTCACTTTGAAGCAGAATTGTACAAAGCTTTGGACTTGGCTCATGATTATCAAGAAAAATGCAAACAACTGACTGCAGAGAAGAAAGAAATTGATGAAAAAATACTAAAGACCGTACAAGATAGAGATGAAATGGTTGCAATGAAAGATAAGGAAGTAGAAGCATTGAAAGAAAATTGCCAAACGATTATGAGACTTAATAAACAGTCGACTGATTGTATTAAAAATTTGGAGGAAGCATTAGAAAAGGTATGTATTCAATTGAGTTTATATTTTATTGTTTAGCAAAATGAACATGATCCATGTAATCCTTACTAATATTATAAATCGGAAAGTGAGTTTGTTTGTTTGTTCCACTTTCACGCCGTAACTACTAAACCGATTGTAAAGTTAGAAGTCTGGATCAAATACTTTCATCTCGTAAAAAATTGATATTCTCGAGGGAAAACGAC